ATTAACATCAAAACCCACTACCAATGAGTTCATCCTGATTCAAGGTGACTCCATTAGGTGTCTCAATTCAATCTGGACACTTCTGACTGTGAAACCTGACTTAGATAAAATTGCAATGAGAGTTGTTTTCAGACACTGGGGCTCCCTTCATAAATTTGTTCCTTACTATTGTGGTGAAAGGTGTGACCTCGGAGCACTCCATATGGATATGTGGGCCTATCATGAAAAATCCACTCTAACATGCCAATTTCCCTAAGTTGTTGGGGATCTTCTCCTGCAGTATAACAAGGTAGGTCTGGTCTTTCAACTTCACTTGTCGAAGGCCATCTCACAGTCCATGCTTCATTGAATCAAATAAAATACTAGATCCTCTCCTAACCTTTTTAGCTGAAACATTTGAATGAATAATCTGTGCTTAGTGGGCTCATATAAAAAATTCAGGCTGATTCGACTTATTTTCTTTGTGCCATTATCCCATACCCACATAAGTATGGTCTGAGAGTTCCTTAGAGGCAAGTATATCGAGTGTTCATCTTACATACTTTGCACATATTGTCAGGAAGACCAGTCCCTGGAGAAAGACATCATGTTTGGTATAAGGGCAGACAAGGAGGAGAAGGCTAAAGAGATGGATTGGAACAATCCACTCCAGTGTAGGAACTGAGGATGCCACAGGACCTGGTAATGTTTTGTTCTGTTGTGCACAGCGTTGCTATGCATCAGAAATGACTTGATGGGACCTGACAACGATGACAACGTATTTTCTAAGTTTGTTTGCACACATTAGAAAACTCTAGCAGTTTCTTGGGAGCCTAATGCATCTCTTCCTGAGTCCCATTTGTATCTACCCCTTTGGGACCACCAGAATGTAAGGCTACTTATAGGTCTAGAAACAATAATAGGTGGCGAAGGTGTTTCCTGGTAAAAGATATTTTGAAAGGAATCTGCCTCAGGAAATTATCCAGACAGTCCCAAGTATCATATCAGACTAATCTCCTCAAATGTGGGTGGGATAAAATTTTACTGCTAACTGATTACTATATAAATGTGGCATAATCACTTTAGTTGGGAGAGGTCGTGCTGTTGGCTGACATGGCTCAATCAACTATAGGGGCCCAATGTCCCCATTTTCTTGATTATCTGTCCATATGTCCTGATCCCAAACGTTAGGGTCCCATTTCTTCCCAATTAATACCCTCACAGACACTATCCCATGTTGGCAGTTCAGTTGGTATTGTAATTTAGCCAATCTTATAAGACACCGGGTGTGTTTGGTTTTTGGCATTATCAGCTGTTTCTTCTTATAAGAAATAGGCTTTTATTCATGGCACAAGTGGGAACTTTGAGGTCTTTCATGTGATGCTTGGGTTGTGACTCTGTGCCCTGAGATCATCTCTTTCCTTCATCACTTTGTTTATTTTAAATAGTACCAACCAATCAATTTCCCTATAATTCTCATTTGCCAAAATTGCTGAAAAATATCAAACACATAATCACTCTGAGCCTCACTTCTTGTCAAAAGTCTCATTTTTCTGAGTAGCTGGTAAGTTTGAACTGCCAACCTTGCAGTTAGCAGTGCAACAAAGGCTAAAATACATTTATTTCACCAAGGAAAAGTGGCAGATAGCCAAGGTAATTCGCTTAATGATTCAAGGAGCAATTAAGATAGCACATTTAATAAGCACTAACTAATCCTTTATCTAGGTTAGAAATTTTGGTTCTTATTTTCTTTGTTACTTCAGTAGTAATACTTTGTCAAGGAAAAGACTAAGTAGCTTTCTTTAGAAGGGTATAAATGAAATCTTAACTAAAAATGGAGTTTTGATTTAGATCTGCAATTACCCTATTCATATATACCAGCACCTAAATTCTGTAAGGGTTTGCCACCATATCTGAATGTACATCCCAAAATTCGTGTTTTAGATTAGTGAATGAAATGGGAAAAAGCTTGTTTATTATAATTTTTTATAGAAAAAGGGAAAACACAAATGCCAGAAATCAAGGGTTGAGAAAAACTTGGCTAAGACTTTAAAGAAAGTATGACTTAAAGTTGACAACAATCACTTCTGATGAATTAAGAACAAGAGCAAAAAAGGACCTTTAATTGAAAGAAAATGTATGATCAAAGAATCAGGGCAACAGCAAAAATATTTATTTTGGGAGTGGCACAACAAAAATAATAATAAACCATGTGCCAATTTAATCAGATACATTATATTTATTTTAAAGCAGAATATAATAGACATGTCAAATTTGTATCGAATTAGAAATTACAATATACAACTTAAATTCTTACATAGAAATTTTACAATACAATATTTTAATTTTTCATTTTTCATATTATTATAGCAACAGTTTAGGCAATCTGTTGCTATACTGGGCTAGAGATTAAAGCTAGACACTTCTTACTATTATAACAATGGCCTTAACATACCTCCAATTGCTTTCATAGATTAATAAATCATCCAATAAATTTGGTTATATGTTTTATACAGTGAATTATATTCTCTTGGGTAGAAGGTTTTTAAATGCAGAGGTTAGGAAGTACAGTCCTTGTAGCCAGGAGTTCTGAATCACAGCACACTATTTCTCTGAGGAAAAGGCTGGGTTCTACATGTTCAATTATTTTTAGCACTTAGCTTAAGTGTCTCAGTTCTTGGCCACATCAGACAATGATGGAGCCTTCTCCCTTGCTTGGGATATATTCTGACTACATTTTGCAGGTCCTATTGCTATGGTCTCTATCCCCATCAGCATGGTCAATTGGTATGGCTTGCAATTATTCTCAAATTGTGGTGGGGCATTTGGCTGCTAACTGTAAGATTGGCAATACGAACCTATCAGTTGCTCTGTGGGAGAGACATGTGGTAGTTGGCTTCCATAAGAATTCCAAACCCAAATCCACTACCAATGAGTCAATTCTGACTCTTAACAACCTTATATAGAGCTTCTGAGACTACATCCTTATGGGAGCGAGCAGACAGCCTCATCCTGCTCCCAAAGAGCAGCTAGTGGTTTTGAACCACTGACCTTGTGGTTAGCAGTCCAATCCTTATCCCACAAGACCACCAGAGCTCCCTTCCATAGATTACAACCTTGGAAATCCTATGAAGTAGGTCTACTCTGTTCTATAACTCAACAGCAACAGGTCAGTTATTCTCCAAATTTCTCCCAAAAAACCCATCATGTGACTTTGAAGCCGGAAAGACCTGAATATCCAAAGCCTCTTTTCTGTGAGAGGAAATGGTTTCTCTGCTTTAAGTTCTGTACAATAAATTTCTTTCAGAAGCTTAAAATGTGACATTTACTTTCACTGTGTTAAAGAAAAATAAAAAACTCAGACATTGGTCTTTGAAAGATCTGTCAACTTAAACCTTTAGGACCCTGAGAGAATATAAAGATTTTTATAAGTACTTTTGTTATAGTGTTTTTTAAAAGACAGTTTTTTAAGATGTGAATGATAGATGATATTTGCGTGAAATTGGCAACTATCTTCTAAGATACTATGAGTTACATTAATTACCAGAAGTGCTGTGGACAACCCCAACACAGAATGCCACAAAGCACACACACATCTCAGGATGGAGAATGTATACTAAAGGGTGAAGACCACCTTTTAGACAATACAACTGACCAGAAGGGCAATTCTTGGAGGTCAGGTGCTCAAGTCCTAGTGGATGAAAGGCCTCCTACAGGGTTCTAGTGCCTTATATCTTGAGAGGAGCTGGGACGATGTAGCCTCAAATCTTTGCATTACTCTTCATTCTAAACAATGCTGAGAAAATCAGCATCCATCTTTTTTTTTAATAAAAAATTTTTAATTAATTATTTTATTATTAAATATTTTTATTGGGGGCTCTTACATCTACATCGCTTATCACAATACATTCATGCGTGTCAAGAACATTTACACATATGCTGCCATCATCATTTTCAAGGCATTCTTATCCCACTTGAGTCCCTGATATCAGCTCCCTATTTCTCCCCCCACACACGAATGCTTGATAAGTTATAGATTATTATTTTCATATCTTGCATTGTCCTCCGTTGCCCCTCACCCACTTTTCTGTTGTTCTTCTCCCTGGGAGGGGGTTATAGATTGATCCTTGTGATCAATTCCCCCTTTCTCTCTCCTCCCCCTAATTCTCCTGGTACCTCTACTCTCATTGTTGGTCCTAAGGGGTTTATCTATTCTGGATTCCCTGTATTTCAGGCGCGTGTCTGTAGCAGTGTGCGTGTTCTGGTCTAATCCGACTTGTAAGGTAGAACTGAGGTCAGGTTAGTGGGGGGAAGAAAGCACCATCGAACTAGAGGAAAGTTAATGTATTTCATCGGTGCTATACTACACACTGGCTGGCTCATTTCTTCCCTGTGACCACTCTGTGAGGGGATGTCCAATTGTCTACAGATGGGCACTGGGTCTCCAATTCACCCCCCCTCCCCTTTTCCCATTCACCTTGGGTATGGTTTTGTTCTGGGTCTTAGATGCTTAACACCTGATCTCATTGACACCTCAGGATCACACAGACTGGTGTCCTTCTTCCATGTGGGCTTTGTTGCTTCTCAGCTATATGGCCACTTGTTTATATTCAAGCCTTTAAGACCTCAGACACTATATCTTTTGATAGCTGGGCACCATCAGCTTTCTTCAGCACATTTGCTTATGCACCCATTTTGTCTTTGGTGATCATGTCAGAAAGGTGAGCATCACAGAATGCCGGACAGCATCCATATCTAAGGGTTCCACAGTTCTGAAAAGTTTCATGGGGTGATAGCTGCAGCTAGTTGCCAATAGGTTTACCCATGAACTGGTGTGAAGAAGTCATTGATTAGTCCTAAGTCTTCCTTATACGCTAAACATTCTGGGTTTAGCCTAACACATTCTACTCTTTTACCTCAAAGGTTTAAATAAGCACATTTTAAAGTAGTTGATGCTGGGTCCCCTGACTACTGGGGGGAAGCTGGGATTTGGCTGAAATGGCAAGTTTATTAATAGCAAGTGGTAATAACTTTTAGGTTTAATCACAGTGCATCTGCATTTTTCTTACTATTTTTTAGTGGAATTTTACAATTACTGGTTCATTAAAAAGTAGGAATTGTTCAGGAGAGGTAAGCAGGTGGTTGGACAGAATCATTCTTTCAGTAGTATGCTGCCTAGAAAGAAGAGAAAGGAATCAAAGTTACTCTACTGATTTAAAAACTCACCCAACCAGTCTTGGAACATAAAAGCTTATTATCAAACAAATACCTTTTGTTATCTAACAAATATCTTTTGCCTTCAGTACATTTGAGGGGGTGGGGGGAGAGATGAAGAAGGCCTGTGTGTCCTCCCTCAAACAACAACAGTAGTGAAATAAGAAGTGATGAAAACTGTATGAGAACTTCAAAATGTCTGTGGAAAGGCTTCATTATCCTTTCATTTTATTGCTTTGCACAAACTTTTCCCCCTTATTTTTATTTTATTTTAAAGCATTCTAAATACATTTCCCCTTTTAAAAAAATGCCTTTAAAATATTTTTTTTCTTTCAAACCATTTTATTAGGACATAATCCAGACATCATACCATTTCTTGTTCAATCATATCAAGTAGTGTTGTACAATCACTACCGCAATACATTTCAATTTTCTTCCTTCTTATACTCCTTGATATCAGCTCCCCATTATCCCCCTAGGAACTCTTATTCTAGTTATTACCTCTACAGATTCATATACCAAAAAAACCCCACCCTCATATTCTAGCCTAACTCTGTACTTAAGAAGCTAAAATTGCTACATGACATCGGAAAACTAAGGACAATTTTCTTTCTAAAATTCAAAAGCAGTATTGAATATAATCCACATCTATAGAGGCTGAAGATGTGCTGCTGCATCTTCAAAGGGCAAGTGTTGTTAGGTTTCAAAAACCTAATAATATCAATCAACTTCCATGTATCACAATCCTCAACTTTTCAAAATCCATAAAACTATAGTGCTTTTATCAGCCTACCTTAAAGTTATTGAAGCTTTCCTTTTTGTACTTACATTGTTAAAAAAAAAATTCACGGAGAGTAAGGTTTTCCAAAGGCCTTCCACACAGAGATTCTGATATGCTCCATTTATATTAACAATCACTACTTTTTATTTTCCATTTTAAAAGGTTCCAAATCTATTCTATTTCGAGTAAAACCAATTAATAAAATAAAATCCCAGCATATAACAAAATAAGTGAACTCTTAATTGTAGAGCAGAAGCAATTTCAGAAAAAAATTTTCCGGTCTCAGAAATTATAGTACTTATTTATTCTATTTATTATAATAAATATGCCCTGTAAAATATGAAATATAGACTCAGAGTATTTATCTATTATAAAAGATGGTGCGATAAAAGAAAGATAAAAACTAAAAAAGAACAGCAAAGAAGTACAAAGAGGAAAAGAAAGCCCAATCTGTGGCTGGTTCCATATGGGATTTCCCTCATTGTGAACTCACTCAACAGCAAACAGTCAACAAGAATTGAGAGTTTCAACAAGCTGAAAGTGGCCTCATAACGAGGGTAGTATATCTAAGAAAGGCTTTATGAAAAGTCTTGCCAAGGTCACTTTAACTCAGCATTACAGTCAGAATTCCAAACCTATTTTCTTAGTCTCAGCTAGATGTTATAAGTTGCTGCATCTCAAGACCCTAACAGAGAATGAACAGTATGTACAACACTCATCTGAACTCTGGACAGGCTTTAGTCTGTCTCGCATGGTATAGCTACATCTAGGAATATGGGTGCAAGCCTACGAATATGGCAAGCCTGGGAGCACCCCAGGTCTCCATCTTTTCCATTAGGTTGAGGAGTTCTACTTCAATCAGTAAGATGCATGTCAGTCTAGAGTAGAGATTGGCAAACTATAGTTGGAGAGCCAAAGGTGGCTCTTTCAATATGTACACGTGGCTCTGAAAATGAAAATAAAACTATCATAATTTTTTAGGCATTTAAAAAAATCAATTTATTGGGGCTCATAAAATTCATCACAATACATAGATCAATTGTGTAAAGCACATCTATACATTTGTTGC